TTAACTATATGATTAGCCGTTTCTGGAAATACGTAACGTAACTACGTTATAAATTACTATCTTTGAAAGTGTAATCCAGTACTTTACTACGTTACCGAGATAGAAAAAGCGTTACCGGCAACGTCGGGTTTTATAACGCGTTACCACAGCACTGCTACGACGAGCCATCGAAGCCAGCCTCATAGACGCTTTACACACGCGCCAGAATACGGCCGCCATTGCTGACCTTCTCTTGTTTTACCGAGATACCGAGGCACTGAAATTGGTGCGGACGAGCCTCCACAAAGGTCAATGCTGGGGAGCAAGACAGAATCAAATCTAAGATGGCAATAACCTAGCCTGCTATGGTAATAATGAAGTGAAGTAAACGTAATAAGGGGAAACAAAAACTGAAGGTCAGTTATGGCGGTGCCCATGCACAGCTGCTGCAAAGCGTCTATATGTCGCGTGAATGTGGGCGCGTGGTCACGTGGCACGCTCGCAGCGCTGGATTGGTTAGGATGGCTGGTAGCGTTCTCTGCGGTCCATCACGACGGAGTACAGCCTCTTTCCTTGGATTAGAGAAACGGGAAAGGGGTAGCGCGGTGGTAAAAGTAAATTATCCTTTCCTTTAGACAGAGTGAAAGTGTTAACTCGCTTTCGCACCGGCATTTTGCCGAGGTCGAATAAAGTACACTCGGCTTATTGTCGCATCGCCTTTGTAGTCACCCCGTTTATCGTGACGCTCAGGATGCCGGAGATAAATGTAGGGGCCGCATGCAAGAAGAGGGTGCGTGCGTAATGGTAATGAAAAGGGGGAGGGGTCTCTGCACGAAGCTGCAAGCCGTGGGCAGCGGAATCGTAGACGAGCGAGACGGAAATACCTGTGAGGAGGGTAAAAGGCGTCGGAAACCACGTGATTCAATAGAATGCAACGTATTCTATTACAGGAAGAGCCATCTTGAGTGCAGCCATAGTCATTGTCAACTTCATAAACGCAGCTTATATACATATGTTCATTATTCTTGCTTTGTGATTAATCACCTGATACCGCAATTTCATTGGTTACGACGCGATGATAAGATACCCGGACCACGCACTGCGTGTGGCGGTGATCATAGGTGCTGTCCATATCTGTCTTAAACAAATTTTGACTGTATTTTTGGACATATGGAGGTGAAGTTAAGGCCCGTTCACACATGCAGTGGAGCGCTACAAGCATATACGCTGACCTCGCGCTAAGCGTGTGCTGACGGGAGCGTTCACCAGCTTTGTATCGCACCGTCAAAACTCTTGCTCATGGCAGACGATGTGTAGCTGACGACACGTGAGTAGCGCTACATCAACGCTTCGCCGCGCTGCTTCAGCGCATTGTTCATACACGGCGCGAAGTAGTTCTTACGAGATTTGGTTGTTGGAGGAAAAAGCGATGTTTTTGGTGTTTGGAACGTGTACGCCTAAATAAGATGACACATGTCTTAATTATCAACGTAAGTGGGGAAATTAGTAATGCTCCGCGTGGAGCCGGACGTTTTTCACTACGGTTCTTGAGGTGAAAACGGGTTTCTTTTTTTTACAAAATCTTGGTCCGCTTCGCTTGCAACTTTTAGTTTGAATATGTGTACGCGCTTGGAAAACGTTTTTGAACAGTTCGCTTTTTTATTATATGTTCGTGAGAAAACAAAATGCTACGTTTTGTTCATTCGAAGTGCGAAAGTTGGGTCCATAGCACATGAGCGAATGACACCTTCCCATCTGAATGTTTTTGAATCGTGTCGCGTATCGATTATTTCGAATATTGTCACACTCCGACTCTTTGTGACAATTCATGGACTTCCATCACGTCGCGAGGTTTGTATTTGTTTTTTCTTGTTCTGCTTGTATATTTGCTTCTGGCGGCTACGAAAAGAGAGAAAGGGGCGGGGATACAGTGAGGAGCCCGGGGAAAGCAGGGAATTACGTCGGCATCCCCTTTTTCCCGAAGAAGTGTCCTGCCGTTTCATCCCTAAGCCCCCCGTTCCCGAGGCGGTGGGATCTGAATATGCCCTTCTTCCTTCCTCGTTGTTTCGGTTTCTGTAGGGGCTCCGACACTGTCGCATTTTCTTCTCTTCTTTTTTCTCTTTTTTTTTTATGAGGAGGAGGAGGAACGGTCGTGTGACTCCGTTGTCCGCCAGCTACTGTCGAGTCCCATGTTCATTCTCGCTGCCACGGCCCTGGGCCTGAATCGCACGTGCGACCGTTTCAAAAATCGGGTTTAGAAACGCCGAGCTTTGTATCGGAGCTCTGTTTTTGCGATTGGGAATTGTGGCACAAGAACTTCGGCCACTCATGATCGTAGTTTAACCTAAGCGCGTGAATTGTCGCTTCTTCCGCGTATCGATTTGTCGGTTAATAGTGAGTTTTAGTATTGCGTATCGGGCAAACGCAAGCGCTGCGCGTTTGCGTTAGCGTTGCGTTCTCCACGCTGCGCGTGCGCGAAGTCGCCATGCGCCAATCCAGGGCCGCAGTTTAGGCTCCGCGCACGGGCAGTGTGGAGCACGCAACGCCAACGCAAATGCACAGGGATTGCGATCGCTCGCATACGCAATACTAAAACTCATTAATGTGTCGATCAATTGGACCTGCATCCATTGTATCCCGCTGTTATTGCGTGATATAGTCATCGCCCCTGACGTGTTTGTCTCCTGTGACGTATTTGTCGTCCGTAAGTTAGATATGCCGCCTTTTTTTATCGTTTTGCATTTTTTTAACGTTTTTGTTGTCTTGGGATCTTGTCGGCGGTAACGAATTTGGGGTCTACGATGTTTTTATCATCCGTTTCTGCCGTCCGTGACATAGTTTTCGTCTTTCTCGCTCTTTCTTAGTCCGTTTCCGTTAGTTTTCGCGTGCCGCATATTGCGCTCGATGCCTGTTTAAGATATCTTCTGTCTTCTAACGCTCAGCTGTGTTTGAGACGTCTATGTGTTTGTGTTGTGCCGCATCCTTTTGCTTGATCTCCGCCTGCTCACTTGCATCCTTACATTATGTCCACATATTCATCTCCAAGTTGAGAGGAAAACGGCGAAGCATGTTGAGCGTCCTATAAAACACATAGCAGCGGGTTATTTCTTTTTTAAGTATGGAAGAGTTGTTAGCGTTTCTTTAAAAGAGCTCGCTTTCTTGCCGCACCATCTTTTAACTGGCATCGAACCTACTATTGCTCGTTTCACTTTATGTGCGAGAAAAACCGAAGCTACAAGCACGAACAAGTTGCCCCGAACCATCCTTGGCGGTAGGGAGCGCTGAAAGCTTGGAGCTCGTTCTTGTAGCTTTTGCAACGTGTTAAAGTGAAACGGAGCTGCGAACGACGTTACACTAAACGGCGTGACACTTTCCTTTCTGTTTTGGATTTTTCCTGTGTTCTCCCCTCCTGCCACACACCCTCAGCCAGCCTGGTCAGGCGTGCGACTGGGAAACCCGACGGCTGCCGGGGATTTCCGTCTCGGGGAAGTGTAGCAAGAAGAGCCTCCAGGAACAGGGAGGGTCGAGGAATATGCCCGCAGTGTTCTTTTTAGTTCTTTTTTTTTACGTCATTTTGCTTTTTGTCGGCTTCGCTCCCTCGGGGTAGGAGCTTAGAGCCCTGGGTTCCATACTTTACCGGAGGCTTTGCGGTGTATATCCGAATCCTGCGGGGAGAAAGAAAACAAACTCCCAAGCTGTCGATGGAAGAAGAAGAAGAAAAATATATCACCCTTATCTTCTTTAGCAAAACAAAAATAAAATAAAATTGCTTGGAAATGTTTTATAAATTGTTACTCTACTCACCCCGGGAGAATTAACTGTGTAGCGTTCCCACCTTTTCGTGTAAACTTAACGTCACCAGGGAATCGTCGGGGTTTGGAGCTTTTAGCGCTATTCCTGCGGCTACTGGTGGAGCTGCCTGGTGGAGTGTCACCTCCCCCATCGCTCTATTCACCCCAACACTGACGGCGCTGCGGAAGCTATTCGTGCTCGTTGGACAAACCAGGCACATACGCCCACCTTTCGCCACGCGATAGCGCTCTTGCCCAACACTATACGTGCAGAGAGCGGGGTCGGGCGATGAATGGGAGGCGGTGGATGGGTGCTTCGCACCGCACAGTGAGCTTAGGGGTTGAACGGAGTCACCATCCGAGGAAGACTGCTCCTGCCATCCCGATGACGTAGAGTCATCGTTGTGTAGTCCTCGATCGGTCGGTGTTTTGGGGGTCGCGTGAAGCAGTGGAGTCTGTGGAACCCTGCACGTTGATTTTGAAGACAAATTATCGATCACCCCGATTTCGTATTGCTCCTATAATGAGGATTTAAAGTTTTGGTATCAGGCAACAACACGAACGCATTCCTCCATCGCTCGCATAGTGTTGTATTTATACGCCAGTTTTTAAATGATTTTCAAAACATTTTTAGGTGTTTTTTTTGTTTTTTTTTTGTTTTTTTTTTTACGGAAACGTAGTAAGCATGTTGCTTGCACGTTGGTTTTTCTTTTTTGGAAAGATGTATCACTCCGGTTTCGTGTTGCTTCAGGTTTGGCGATTCGAAACTCTCGTGTCAGGCGACAACACGAACGTATCTCTCGATCGATCGCGATCGCGCACCCAACCGCATTCAGTCAACACCTCCTAGACAGCTTTCAAAGCTTGCGCGTCACGTGATATGACGTCACTTCCCGGAGGCTTGCACGGGTGCTGATTGGATTCGAGTGCCGCGTAAGCGTTCTTGTGGGACTCGTTTCCTATCATAGTCCTACGCGAAGGCTGACGCGGCACTCGCATCCAATCAGCGCTCGTGCAGGCCTCCGGGATGTGACGTCATATCACGTGACGCGCAGGCTTTGAAAACTGTCTAGGAGGTGTTGATTCAGTTCGATGGTAGCGTTCCTGATGCGAAGAAAAGACGAAGCCACCGGCGTTACGCGTTTGGAGCCAACCCCGTCGCGCTCGGTCCACGCAAGTAGTTCGTCTTGCCTCAGTCTTTCTATTGCCCTCTCCGTGTTGGCGGCGCAGGTGCCGAAAGAAGCGCTACGTGAAGGAGCTGCCCACGGCCAGCGTGGTGGTGCCCTTCCACAACGAGCACTGGACGACGCTGCTGAGGACGGCCACCAGCGTGCTGAACAGGTCTCCGCCGGGACTCATCAAGGAGATCATCCTCGCCGACGACTTCAGCAACAAAGGTAGGCGGGGTTGGTCACTGAGGGAGGAGCAGGAGACGAGAGCACGCGGGAACACGTCTGAACACCGAGCTCCGACCGGAAGGACGAGTGGGAACTCTCTTAAAAATGCCTGCGCGTCCACTTACTCACAAAACACGCGAAGAGCCCAATCTCTACGATCTACGAAATCAGCTGAGCGAATGATGGGGCGGAACATCCGTTTAGACCTCAAAATTATGTGTGCGTGCTGTGGCATCACGCGATGCAAGCAGGACGCTTTGCATTGCCTAATGCCACAGCGCAGATTTCATTCGTTGAGCTGATTTCGTAGATCGTAGAGATTGGCTCTTCGAGTGTTTCGCGGGTAAGTATAGACGCGCAGACATTTAGAGTGTAGGGCGAGAATTGGGTACTTGTGTAGTACACGTTCCCCTCCAGAAGTAACTGAATAACCCTGCTCCTCACTTCATCAAAACACTTAACGAAAATACGCCACTCATTCCTTCGTTTAAAGGTAACTAGGTCGTTGCTTGGTTATAAGAAAAAAAAAAAAAGTAACTCTACAACAAGTTACGTACAGGTCTGACTACGCTAGGAAAAGCAGGACAAACCCCGTCCACAAAACCCTCTGCTCGCAGTGATTGGTTGTTTCCTCCTCTCCACTCACACTATCTCCAGCGTTCGCTCTGCTAAAATGGAAAGGGGGGGGCATCGGGAAAAGAGCGTGTTTCGCTGCTTTTTTTTTTTTTCGAAGTTTATAATGCCGAATAGACCCTTTTTCAAAAGTTCATTGCGCAACATTGGCGATCGCCATTTCTAGGCTAGGTGGCGCAAGCTACCGCCCATTATAAAGAGTACAGCCGTTAGCATCCATCCATCCGTCTTTGAGCGCAGAGCGTGTGATTGGATACGAGTTCTCGCCTAACGCTAACGTGTACCGGTCCTGCGCAAAATTAAAAATTCTTTCTTTTTTCTACGTGCACTTTTTTTTTGCGAGTAATAAGCTTAATTAAAGCGTGTGAAAGGGTTTTAACGGCAAAAATATGTGATAAAAGTTTGTACATTCACGCAGCCTGATAATTACAAAGAATCCATCTTAGTAACCAGACCAATTACGGAACGTACTGAATCCTTGGATTCAAACTCCTCAGCCACGCTGATAAAATGTTCTGCGCATTTTTCCCCCGCTTCTTTAGCATTGATGTATGGATTGCTCTTTTGTTGGGGTTGGTTTTTTTTCTTCTGTTTTTTATTCCAGCACAAAATAAAGAGTAGTAGACATTATTCGTCTTGATTATGATGGTCACATTTGACAGCTTTATACCGCCGGAGAATCTGTCATTCTTAGGGCTATGGAAACAAATAGCTGGTTTCCGTCAGATTTCCTCGGTTATTATCCTGGGGGATTCGGGTCATAATTTATGCTATACGCGGCACGTCCAGGGCTTATGCGTCCGTGGTCGATAACGCGCGATAGTGGAACGCATTTTTTTTTTCCTAACTCGTTTAGGTGTGGTCCGAGTAGCGGCGAACCAGACATAAAATATTGGCACGGATCTGACGAAATTTCATCTCGATTATGTTTTTTTTTTTCGGCAGCAGCTACACTTTAAAAACGTTTGTGCGTCTACTTTCACGCACACAGTACTCAGACTGAGTTTTTTGGTCTAAACATATTTTACGCCATTGTCATTCGCTCAGCTGCCTCCGTAAGTTGCGGTGATTGGCTCTCCGAGTGTTGTGCGGGAAAGCAGACGCACGGGCTTTTTTAGAGTGTAACGGAAAAGACAAGAAGGCGTAAACTATGATCGCATGTCTAAGTTCATCGTAGCGAACAAGGAACACCTCATCTTAACTTTTTTTCGTCCTTGGGGCCGCAAAACAACGCTAAAACCGCCGTAAAAATAACCAAAAACCTAGGACCACTGAAGTGAAAATTGGTACATAAAGAGGGACGCACACAGAAGCCTCCGTGCTACCGCATCCAATTTTATAAAGAAGGCCCGCAGAGCGTCTTGTATACAGATCCTAAAGAACACCGCTAAAAGCTTCGAACGAGCAAACGAGAAAAGAACAGAGTTAATTCTGCGCTTAAAAATGAAGGGAACGGATAGCGTGTTCGTCCATTCATGTCGGAGCGGTTATGTCACGGCGGTGAGAAATTGAATTATTATTTTTTTAGTCGTGAAGATAAACTCGTACTCGAAAGAAGAGAGGCGCAGAGCGTCCGTTGGCACGTTGAGGCTTTCTATAGCTAGAACATATTTTAGGTATTGCTTGGTCAAAGGTGGAAGTGTGTCTTCGGTCGCTCCGCCTACGATCGATGCCTTTTCGTTTAGTCCGATCTTCCACCGGTTCAGATTCGTTTCGCCGAGACCGAATACGCGGTGCGCATTGTCGATCGCGTGTTTCTTTGGCCGCCCTCTCTAGTCTATACGTTTGTCCTTTCTCGTCGAGATTGTTCCCCCGGAATTCCTTTCAACGGGTGTTTTGTTGACTATCCGCGCGAGCATGTAAACTGAGACGACGCGCGCATCACGCTACGACGATCCCACGGGCATTTCAGGTGTTCTTTCCTTCGTGGGGCTTGCGAAGCTCGCACGCGTGAGTATAAACCGTGTACGGAATTCTTTTTTTTTTTTTTATATAAATAGGCCAGCTTTACTCTGGCGTCACGGCACGGTGATGGCGCTGCTGTCGGCACTGCGCGTGCGCAGATGCTTCGCCTACGGGCGAATCTTGTGGTTTTTGTGCACGCGCACTGCCCACCACACCCGGTTTCTGCAAACGCGGGCTTGTTTATAAACGGTTGACTCCTGTGTGTATATACGGTGCGAGCATGTTCGTCTGCTCCTTGCGCCCCTCGTGCGTTTGTTTACCCCCAAACGCGCCCGCGTGCTTTTGTTTTGCCCCCGACCTCAACCAATGGCGGCGCGCGCTTGGCCGCTTGGCGTCATCGCGCGCTCCCTGGGCGTTCTCTATGTTGCCCTTTGATTGCCGAGCTCCTCCTCGCGTTCCGGTGCATCGCGGACGCGTTGTTGAACGCTCGCTCGCCGTATTACCTTCGCCTCGCCAGGTAATGACCAGACTCGTGTATGTAACGCGTTACTTCTATCTAGTTACATTTTTTCTATCTAGTTACATTTTTATAGCGAAACTGTTAAGGGATAGTTTCCCCAGGATCGTGTCCGACCTCAAATGACCTGATGACACAGAACTCTGGACAGCTACCACCATCTATAAACAACGACGCCAAACAGACAACCGACTTGCCGGTTGTCTGGTTGCTGCCGTCGCTCACAGATGGCGGCAACCTTTCCAGCCTTTCAACTCTGGCTTGTCGACTTGCGGCCGGCCATTACTTCATTCTCACCATAGTGCAGCTTCGCTGGTCTTCCTTCTTCACCAGAGTGGAAAGGCTGAGAGTTCTTTTTTTGTAACGAAGTAACTGCTTACGTATACGTTTGGACAGAATGAGCGAGTAACGTATTTTGTTATTTTCTGGTAAAATACCCAGTAAATGCGTTTAGTTACTTGTGCGGAGGAACGTCCACAACAAAAGGTAGCCTATTTGTTTTCCTCCCCAGACCGCGGCTGTGGCTTTCGCGGCAGAAAAAAAAGCGCCAAGAGAAAAAAAGAATATATATATATATGCCCATGAATGCAACAAAAAACTAGGCACTATTAACGACACGAAATATTGGAAGGAGGCCACTTGTGGGGGGCAGGAAAACGACACGTTCAAAGTACGAGAACGTAAGTCATTACTTTTGAGCTGACATAACGGCGTTCCTCTTGAATCCCAGAAACAAGGAATCTACTCATGATCGATGGCAAGTTAAGAGTGAAGTGAAAGCTCCTCCCACCCATTTCCACTTTAGCAGAGCGAACGCTGGAGAGGAGGCGACCTCCTCTCCTGCGTTCGCCCTGCTAAAGTGGAAAGAGGGGGAAGGAGTTTCCACTTCACTGAGTCCTAACCTGTCACCGACTATAGTTACGTTTTTTGTGTTTTTTTAAAATATCTAGCTGTTTGAACATGTCTGAGTACAATCGACCATTGCTAAATTACCCAAGCATCAAGGAGGATGCTGGAAATGCATACGGTCATAGCCTCCTCTATACTCACAAAGCCTGGCAGTTCGACGACGGAGCCATAGAGTGCCCGGTCGCAGATTTGGAGCTCGACGATCTGGCAGCACAGAGCGTCAAAAAGCCATCTCTCGAAGAACCTGGACGTCAGTGCACAGCTTTTGAAGCGCGAGGACCCGAAACACACTTGTTCGCTCGAGAGAAGTGTGTTTCGGCGTCTCGCCGCAGCGGGGCACCAGTCACATGGCTCTCCTCTCATCCGTTGTCTGCCGCTCCTCCTTTTCCATTTCGGCGGCCGCTTCTCGTGGCGATTTGCCAGGCTTTGTCAGTATAGGGAGTATTCACTGGCGGCCATATCCGTGTGCGCTACTGCTGAGCGCGTGCTGACGGCGAGCTTCCGCAGTCCTTTTGGAGCGTGCATTTAGCACCATCAAGGTTGCCGTCCTTAGCAGGCTAATAATGTGAGCTCGTTCTGAGCATGCGCTCTAAACAGCACCCACAAATGTGGCGTCTAGTGAATACCTCCTATATAGGAGTCTATATGATACGGTCTACGCCTCGCACACGCTCACCTTCCCCGTTTAAAAGATTCGAAATTAATAACCAAAATAAGGCGTTGACGAACGCGCGTGAAAGATGAAATTTGTTTTAGTCGTTTGCTTTAGAACAGTTACTACTGTAGATGCCAGCACGTACGGCTGGTGTAGCTACGCCCGCAGCATGCTCTTTTGTGCTTGGGTAATTTAGCAAAAGGTTAATCCCTAGGTACTGTCGAACATCGTTTTTATGGTCGTTTTGAGAGCCGTCTTCGATGGTAGAGATCCTGACCATTTTCGCGTCTTGGCCCCGCAGACCAGCTGAAGAAGCCCCTAGAAGACTACATCGCGAAGCACTTCACCAACGTGCACGTGGTGCGGGCCACGAAGCGCGAGGGCCTGATCCGCGCCCGGCTGATGGGTGCCCGGCAGGCGACGGGCGACGTGCTCATCTTCCTCGACTCGCACACGGAGGCCAACACCAACTGGCTGCCGCCGCTCCTGGAGCCTATCGCCAAGGACTACCGGACCGTGGTGTGCCCGTTCATCGACGTCATCGACTACGAGACGTTCGCCTACAGGGCGCAGGACGAAGGAGCCAGGGGCTCCTTCGACTGGGAGCTGTACTACAAGCGGCTGCCGCTGCTCCCCGATGATCTGGCCAAGCCGACCGAGCCTTTCAAGTGAGTTACGTGTCTGAGCGGCCAACGGCGTCTCTCCTGTGCCGGAGGACAGGGACCCGAACAAACCGCCATTGCCTCTTTGACATAGCTTCCTAGATTTTCGGGTAGGTGCGCCAGTCTGGAAAGCGGCAGCCTTCGAGCTCGTGGAGCAAAAGCTCGCTCTGCAGGACTCAGGGATCCTGGGCACAATCCCCACCCCTGCCCGTTTCTATCTGGACGAGCATCGTACCGGCATGCGGTAGTGTATCACTACCGCGTGGCGCACGTTAATGACCTCAGGCTTTTATGTAGCATTTATGCTTCGTAGCGCAGGTGACATAAGCGAGCTCGACAGGCTTGCAAAGACGGAGCGGCCAGAAGTAGCTTGGGACGCAACGGCAATTCATGTTTGTGAACAGCGAAAGGGTCAGTAGTGAACTGGCTTTTTCTTTCTGCGTCGCAGGAGCCCCGTGATGGCCGGCGGGTTGTTCGCCATCAGCCGCAAGTACTTCTGGGAGCTGGGCGGCTACGACGAGGGCCTTGACGTGTGGGGCGGCGAGCAGTACGAGCTCTCCTTCAAGATCTGGCAGTGCGGAGGCACCATGGTGGACGCGCCCTGCTCGCGGGTGGGGCACATCTACCGCAAGTTCGCGCCCTTCCCCAACCCGGGCATCGGGGACTTCGTGGGACGCAACTACCGGCGGGTCGCCGAGGTAACCGCCGCCTCTGGGCAGCCGAACGAGAACCTCGTTTCGTTTTGGGGCCCTCTGTATATATGGGACCGTTCATTCTAAGATACTGGGACCGTCCGCTTTTCCGTAGAACGCTCAAGGAGGAGGAGGAGAAGGGGGGGGGGGGGGGGGCAATCGTTGCAGTTTTAGTTGTTATTCGCTCTATAAGCATTTACGTTGTCCGATCTGATCTTCCAAAGATGCGACGGACGTTAACACGTACTCTTCACAACAGTGCGGCCATATATGAGCTATATAGGACAAAATTCGGTGACATTGTTTTGTGTCATCGCGAAGATGACTACGTCAAGCGGGTCAGATTAGTTTCGCCCACAAACCAAGCTCCTTTCGAGATCGATCGGCCTGCTTCATCTTTTCATCGCTCATCGCCCAGGCAAAAAAAAAAAACAAAAAAACGCCGAGTCGTTGGGCATGCATGCGCGGAGCCTGATATCCGTCAGAGGAGAGCTACTGCGCATGCCCAGAACGCCTTCCACAGCCCAGTAGACGAAGGTGGCGGCGCCGAGATGGTGAATTAACGCAGTGATGAAGCTACTGCGCCATTTGCGCCATCGACGAAAGTCGGCTACATCTTGCGCCAAAGCGCCAATTTCGCGAAGAATGACGCCACACCTGCGTCAAATTGGGCCTGAACAAAGCAAGGAAAAATATTATTATTATTATTATTATATTTTTATTAAGAACCTTTATTTTCCATTTCGATACATAAATGGAGGAAACACGGTAAAAAAAAAAGCTGTGAGAACAGCTTGACGGAGCCCCTTGCTCCCAATCTAGTGGCACACGCAGAAGTGAAAACAAAGCAACAGCGAACAACACTGAGAAAACCGACATAACAAAGTAAAATACAAAAATCAAACAGGTCTCATAAATCAATTCATTCGTTTTCGCCGCACGAACTGAACGCCGCTTTCAGTTCGTAATTCCCGAATTGCAACAGAAATAATACCAATGTTATTCTTTGTTAGGGTGTTCAATATAGTAGGAAGTGTGTATTTGAGTGATGGCATTGAATAGTTGTTATGACACAGTGGTACAGTCCAATATTCCGCCGACCGCGAGTTGGGTAGGAAGCTGCATGTTCTTTTAGCTCCTCAAGATTTACTAAACTACCCCCATTTCTTTCATTTTCTAACTTGAAACTGATCTCGAGTCTATACTTGTACATGTTGTAAACAGGAAGTATACTATTTTTTATGAACAGTCCCTGGGTGCTAGAGTCGTAAGAAGCATTCTCAATGAGACGTACATATTTTTTTTTTTTTAAGTAGGCGTATTTTTGGAGATTTGTGCGGGTGTTCGTGCCCCAAACTAGATAACAATAATTCAGGCCAGAAAGAAATAAAGTGTGGTATAAAAGAAACTTAACATTTGTCGGTAGAATAAAACGGTTACGAAAGATTAGTCCAATGACCTTTGACAATCTAGTGCGTAAATCATTTACATGATTATCCCAAGATAAGTACTCATTGAAAATTACACCTAAACCCTTAAAGTTATATTACTGATCGATTCTAATATTTGGTGAAGCAGAGGGAAACGAATATGGTATCAATATGCATTTCAGAGCCGTATGCGTGTTTCGCTAATGTCAGAAAACAGTCGAAGGCTCACACAGATATAGTCATGAACACACTAAAACCGCGAGTCTATGGGCATTCGCAGCGCTTGATTGCTTTGGCCAATGAAATTGCACGTACAAATAGTTTGCACGTGCCGTTTTGCACGCCTAAACAACACGGACGAGAACGAAGGGAGAAATGGACAGGACGCGGCGTAACTTTCAACCGAAGTGTTAATTTTAATGACATACTTTTAAAAATATAAAAACAGGCGCACTTGGCAGAACTCAAATATATGGTTAAAACCTCGCTCTTCAGATGTTACAATTCTTTATCGGACAAGGACAAAGAGGGTGCGTTTATACAAGAGTTGTCGTGGTGGGACTTAATCAGGAATGCTTCGTGAATTTCTCTGGCCGTTTTTGTTTTGTAATGGCCCATGACCTTTCTCGACTACAAATAGTCGAGGAAGACCAGGACATCGCACGTTTGGAGCCAACATGATGGGTCTCCATATTGACTCGTAGGGTCGGCTGCGCTTCGACTTAAGATGAAACAAAGTGTAGAGATTGGCCTCAATTGCGCCGGCTCGTCATCGACTGGATTTCCAGACGATGTCAGGATCTAAAAGTCGCTAGAGAAATTTGCAAAATAGTGGGATGGTAGCTACTGTAATGAGACAGACCCAAGGTCTTTTACTTCCGATGATACCGCTTGACTATCGTGTCTGCCGGATGCCTGCCTCCGGCGCGCGATTGGTGTGAGGACGTGAAGGTTGATGCGAGGGCCGCAAGTACTACGGTACACTATAGCCAGTACGAGCTTCACCGCTGGGCACCGGAGTGCTGGGAGCAGCGTAATATAGGGATGTAGCGCATGGGCTGGCGCGATTGGCTCGGAAATTATTTTGCTCAGTACTCTTACAGGCCCACCTCCTTTGGTCTTGGCAGTAGGTTGACCTCTAGCTTTAAAAAGATCCTGCCAAGAAAGGAGGCGGAACGCGGGTCTCTATCTGAATAAATACGGTGGTCAAGGTAGTTCCCGTGCAGCATGCGGTCGACCGAAAGAGCAGCGATCGCTTCGACTCAACTCTGGTTCGAGCGCCGCGCTCGTGCGCGGTGCCACTTTTAAAGCGCGAGTGTAGATTTTCATAATATTTGGGGTTAGTTGTTTTTGCAGTTTATGATATTCGAATTTTAAATTTCGTGTCCATAAAACTTGGACGGTCGAATTTTTTATTTATGGGCGTTTCGGCGGATATGCTGATTTCTTGCCCCCATTTTATAGAAATTTACTGGCTAAATTATCTACTGAGTGTAAAAGCGGGAAGGGGAGAGAGGCTTCATCTCCGTTCAAGTGGTCAGCTATGCCCCAGTTTTCAACTATTTCTAATATCCATTTTAAACGCAACTGACACTGACCTCAGCCCTACGTCTAAAAAGAAGCCCGCGTGTTTCTTTTCGCGACTATTTTTACTACAAAATATAAGCAATATTCTTTAATATCAAAGAGGAACCCTGAGTCATTTTCAGATATAAGCTCATTGAACGACGCAATCACATTTTCCTTTTCAAGTGTCGACACGTTGGCGTCTGCTCCAAGAGCATCGGTGAATGCTTCAAACCGTGCTCAGATGTTATACTTCGTTTCAGCCTAAGTCTAGACGCTGCCGACGCTACGAGCTAGTGGGACCTATGAAGTGGAGTCAAAAGCACAGGTCACTGGACCTTTTCTGTTTTGACTGGTTCAGCGATGATAGAACAGGCACAATAACATGACGAACACCACGACGGTGCACTTTTCACGCTGTCTAGTGGAACCCATCAGCTCGTAGCGTCGGTAATTGCGCGTGTGCTTAAGCCGAAACGAAGTATAATAGATGTGTATACGCCATTCAGGTTCATTCTCGACTGCCGCCGAACAGGAGTCTCTGCCCGGTCACCTATACCCAGACTCACTCGCGGATTTATCTCCCACCCCTTACGCTGCCTTTGGCGCACGTTCTATCGAGCCCCAGCCGCGGCAGCGACCGTTTTCCGAGCCTCGGGGAACTACCGGTCCGGAAGCGAGCAGACTCGTATATACTGGCCTGTCGTAAAATCCGTCTGTGCATCCGGGCCTCGTAAAACCCCGCAATTAACTAACCGTGCAACAGAATGGAGCCGGCATTTCTCGCCGGTCCGAACCGATGCAAGCTACGGGGTCGAAGATCGCCATTCACTCTCGCTGGACCATATAAAGACTCGAAACGAAAGAGAAAGTAAACAAAATAAAATAAAAGTATCTTGCTTTTTTAATGGAGCGCAGCTTACCATTTTCCGAAATTTACCGTCCTCTAGTGGCTCAAATATCAGTATCAGTTGAACCTTTGCCGCACTAACGGTAAGTCGGGGATAGATTTCTCGAGACACGGGAACGGTGGCCAAAATGCCTCGCTGCGCCTCCTGATGGCACGGCGTCTGCTGTCGAGACCGGCAGCACCTGGCGCATCTTCATCCTCAAGGACGAGCATCCGCCAAGTGCCGTACTCGCAGGGATGTCGATCCTCTTCGCTCACGGCCGCCGCGCTAAGAAGGCGATCCTGTGGGCAAGTGAAAGGAGGTTTCGCAAACCTCGTCAACTTTTCCGGCGGCCCGCGCGTCTGCTAACGAAGCCGCGCCACGCGGCAAGTGACCGACCAGTAGTCGGAGCGCGGCTGCCGTAAAACGTGTAAGCGCAGGTCTTTACGGCAGGCGCCGTGCCATCAAAAGACGCAGCAATGCAGTTCGGCCACTGCTCCCGCGGTCCGGAAAGTTGGCCCCAGACCGTGCACCTCCCCAAAAAATGCAGTGCGCGCCTCCGTTCCCGCGGGCACATGCAGGGTTTGTACCGCTCCGGCCGGCGTTCCGTTGGACTGTAACTTCGTTTAGTCGAACAGTTTGAACAGCGCAAGTCGCTGAGCCTTGCCTGTACCTGATTGGTTCAGCGATGATAGAACACGTTGATTACGTTTATTACGAAGTAATAACGAGAGTAATCTTATTACTTTAGAAAGTACCAAAATTACCCGTAACCGTTACTAATTTCCCCACCACTTCCTAATGTCGTGCCTTCTTCTACAAGTTTCCCACTGAGGAATCCTCGAACTACGTCTCAGACAGGAGGGAATGGTCCACCGAAATTGGTGGATTAAAAGATGATGGGCAGTTTGTAATTCGGTGACTCCTATCCACTAATGGACAGCACGAAAGGCCCGCCCTTAAACCGGCAGAAAATCGGACGTTTTGAAAATCCAAAGCAGCCGGAAAAATCATGGTTTCTTTTTTTAAGTAACGGTCAAATACTTTTCTTGTCGAGTAATCGAGTAATCTAATTACCTACATTTTAACCGAGAGTAATAAAATTGTAATGGATTACTTTTTTTTTTGTTAACGTGTACAAGCTTGGAACACGTAGAGAAACACAACGGACACCATCTTGGTGCGCTCTCGACGCCGTTTGGTTGGTGCCATCAGCTCGTAGCGTCGGCTGTGTCCGGGCTGGAGATGAAACGAAGCTTATATTACCGCGCCTTGTGCACCAAGAAAGACTGCATGGGGCTGTATTGTAGCGCCTATCACCGTGGCAGTGTGTTTGCCGTGCCTTGGCTGCGCCGGCTGAACTCGCGTCCTCTGGCAGGTGTGGATGGACGAGTACAAGGAGCACCTGTACCACCGGCGACCCCACTACCGCCACCTGGACCCGGGAGACCTGACGGCCCAGAAGGCGCTCCGCAAGCGCCTCAACTGCAAGTCCTTCAAGTGGTTCATGGAGCAGGTGGCCTTCGACCAGCCCTCCAAGTACCCCGCAGTCGAGCCGCCGGACTACGCCTGGGGGGAGGCGAGTGCACCCCCTCCTTTTCGGGGGACTTTGTTTCGGCGTTTGCCCACACTGGCTGTGGGCACTCCGGGGTGCGCAGAAATCAGATTCGCCAGGTGCAAAGCATCTGCACATGCGCAGTGCCGACAGCAGCGCCCCCACAGTGACGTCACGTCAACACTATGATCCGATCGAGCCAACCACGCAGCGCCAAAAGTGCATCGTCTCTACGCTCGTCGCGTTTATGCGGTTGCTGTCAAGCTCTGAGCTAATCGGGTACAACAAAAACCCCGCTATCCTGCGTTTCTTTTTTTTCTTTTCTTTTTTTTGTGCTTGATTGGGACAGCCGTTGACAGCATACTTGCATAACCTCCTCTATACTGACAAAGCCTGGTAGATCGCCACGAGACGCGGCCGCCGAAAGTGAACAGGTAGAACGGCAGACAACGGATGAGAGGAGAGTCATGTAACGGGCGCCCCGCTGCGGCGAAACGCCGAAACACACTTCTCCCGAGCGATGGAATGTCCACTCGTGATCCTCGCTTTCCTCGCGCTATCGCTTCTTTTCTCGCCGGGTTTGAAATTCACGTTTCGGGTCCTTGCCGCTGCAAAAGTTGTGCGCTGACGTTCAGGTTTCCCGAGAAATGCTTTGTGCTACCAGATCCTCGCGCTCCAAATCTCTAACCGGGCAGTCTATGGCTCCGTCGTCGAACTGCCAGGCTTTGCGAGTATAGAAGAATGGTACAACAAATCCGCCGCAATCCTGCGTTTTTCTTCTTTTTTTTTTTTTTTTGAGTGTTCGATTGGTTCAGCCGTTGACAACATACTTGGAAAGACAACGAACGCCATGACGGTGCACTTTTGGTGCTGTTTGATTGGATCCACCGGAATATAGCATGGGCTGCGACTTAAAGTTGTCAGAATATTTGTCCCACCGTTTTCGTAATGACGGTTGCCATCTTCATATATGGCGTAGTTGGGATGGGCGACAAAAACTAAAGTAAATAGTTTAAGCGTAACTGCTATAAGAAAGTATAGCAAAGAAAAAAAAAATGTTCAACTACTGACAGGAACCCCCGTGAATTCGATTGCCTTCCTGTCGGCCAATAGAGTGATTTGCTACTCTAATCCGAAACCAGTAGCTGCCCCACAGAGCGAAGCCGGCGACGTCTGTAACCGCGAAAAACGGCACCTAGAAGCTCCCATTCCCATTGGCTGAGCGAAACGGCACGTAAACTCCCACCATTCCCATTGGCTGAGCGAAACGGCACCTAAATGCAAGTCATGCAGAACGCGCTTTCAGAAAAATAGAACACAAAGAAAAGCGCAGCAACGGAGATGCTTCGTCACGGAAGCCGACGGGGGCGCTGAAGGTCATAGCGGATGCGCCTCAGAAATAATATTTCGCGACAACTCAGCTACGCTAAAATTCAACATGGCAAAAAAAAACAAAAAAACACGGTCAATACATTCAATTAAATCGGGTGCTTCTCCTTTCCCGCAAAGCGCCTGGAAGAACCAATCGCTGCGATCTACGGATGGAGATACACGAAAGACGGTGCCGAACATTCGTTTAAATCCCCTTCCCCCCACCCAAAAAAAAAAAAAGTCTTCACTGGGACGCGCAGCACGGTGAAACGTGTCACAGAGCGCAGGCTGTGTTTTTATTCATTCAGTTATTTATCAATACCACTAATCCTCGTTAGTAGTATAAAAATAAAGGTGTACACATACTTTCAGCCCCGTCATTTGCCGAGCTTCTTTTGTAGTCTACATGATAGGGCAGTGCGCGCCGAGGCACTCTTTCGCGAAAATCCCACAAGCCCTCTGTGCGACCCCACATTGCACCGCGCGGCGCAGGGTATTCTGGGGGCCGTTGCGATGCGCGCACGGGCCGACGTACACGCTCCATTACGTCATGGAGGCGGCGCTTATCTCTTCTCTCGTCTCATGGCGAGTTGAGAGCGCGAAGAGAGCAGAACGAACGCTTGACAGAGCCGATGCGTACCCTGTTTCGCTACTGTCGTGCCCTGTTTGCGTCCCATACATTCGCACAATGCCAAACCAACATCGACAGCTTCTATTCGCTAATACCCCTTCACGAACCGTGCATGGGATTGTCCTAACGCGTCGAGGAGACGGTGAGAATGCTGCGTGTTTGTTTCCGGAATAGTCTATTGACTCCATTCTTTAAGCCAGTGGTTCTCAGCCATGGATGTGTCGGGGACCCCTTGCGGACCGCTGGCAGTGATGGGGGACCCCTCCCAGCAGGAGGGGGGGGGGGGGGGGGGGACGTTAGTAAGTCAACACATCTGGAGCATGAAACAGGTGCCCTTTATTGCTATGTAGCAGAAAAACATAAAACAAAGGTGCCACATCGCTTCATTTTGGTCAGTTCATCAATACGTGAACTGAACTGCAAAAGAAACGTGCCAACTAAGAAAAAAAAAAACATTTTGCTGAGGGTCTCGCGGACCCCCATTTGAGAACCACTGCTATAAGCCATAAACTACACTCGTCTTCAATGCAAGATAGAGCGAGAGAGTGTGTGAGCGGGGCTGTTTGTAGGAATGTATCAGATAGAGAGCGAGACAGTGTGTGTGAGTGCGTGAGAGAGTGCGCTGGAGAGTCAGATCGTGTATGAAAGATATCAAGATAGAGATCGAGATACTGAGCGATAAAAGAAAGAAAGAACGAGTTTTTCAGTGTGTGTTTGTGGCACACAATAGGTTAGACAATGGAGTAGAGAATGTACGACAAAGAGGTAGAGGGAAAGAGGGTGAGTCTGAGATAAAGTGTACGACGGAGCAAGAAAGTGAGATAGAGAGAGCGATATAAAGTGACATCGAGAAAATGAAGTTATTAAATCAACTGACGAAGGACCTGCTATGCCCGAAACGTTTCTCTGAATGACCTTCGACTCTGTCTCCGTCTCCTCAACTTTTAAGGCAGTATTGTTTGACTATCTTGTGTATAAAGACAGAGAACGTGTGCACAATTGGAGGTATCCATGTGCCCGCTACGAGGTAACCAGACAAAGAGTTTCATATTTTTTTAAGCATGAAATACTTTTCAACGTTTACCCCCCTTCCCCCCCCCCTCCCACACATACACACACACACACACACATATTTTGGTCGTCCGTCCGTCGGTGCAGTTCCCGCTAAATTTAGCGCGCAAATTGATTACATGCGACCTATGCACGAATTCAGTTTCCCCGAAAACTTTAGGGGGAAATTTGACATCACCTTACGTGACGTCACGGTACCTACATACCAATTGAGTTTCCCCCATAAATTTGGCGGGAAAATCGATGTCTCGTGGCCTATACAATTCAGTTTCCCCGCTAAATTTCGGTGGGAAAATTGACGTCACGTGACTTGTACTCCAATTCAGTTCCCCTGCTAAATTTGGTGGGAAAACTTATGTAACGTGACATATACGCGAATTCAGTTCCCCTGCTAAATTTGGTGGGAAAACTTATGTAACGTGACATATACGCGAATTCCGTTTTCTGGGGAAATTTTGTTGGGAAATTGATGCCGCCTGACCCTATGCACCAATTCAGTTTCCCCGCTAAATGTGGCGGGAAATTTATGTCACGTGACATATACATTGATTCAGTTTTGTGGAGAAATTTAGTTGAGAAATTGATGTCACGTAACCTGACGTCACGTGAACTATACACTAATATGGTTTCCCCGCTAAATTTAGCGTAAAAATTGAAAATTCAAAGTCTTATAATGAACGTAATGCATTATATAACTTTAAAAGTAAAGGTCGCTGCCAGTTTTTTTTTTTTTTTTTTATTATCATCATTTGCGGAGTTGTGCACTACTCATTCATCTGGTAGCTCAGTAACGTTTTAGTAAACTCGGCTGATCGTAGTAATGGTATGTATGATAACGTTTAGGACTGTCTTTTCTTTCACTTCGACGGCACATACAGTACTGAGCATGTTATGCTGGACGTTGGCCATAGGTAACACCTAAACTTGAGTTATGAAACGAGGTTTGCCCATTCGATCTTCGGAGTAATTACATCTGTTATTCGAACCATAGGCTGTTCGCCCTCACGCCGAATGGAGATTTACGAGTCAGTTTGATCTCACCGACATCGTCCACATGGGGAGACTGAGGCAATTGGAGAAATTAGTTAGCTGCCTTAAATCTCCGCCACGGTACAGACAGACAACAAAGACGTGCCCGCGCCATTCCTTAAATAAATTGGCGCGTGAACCACGACGCACCGATGTTAGTTGAAGAGATAAGATTCGCGAAATATAAAAGCAGATCTAATACAGAAATGTGATGTCTTTGCACTCTGGCATGCTAATGAAACGCAGATCGAGTTATTACGCGGCCTACAGTAGTACGCTGCGTAAAAAATTCATCGCAGTTAGCTATACAGTAATTTCTACACAGCCGACTATGTCGTACGACTTGGCGAAAGGAAGGGGGGGGGGGGCGGTTTGCTGGGCTAAAGGTGCGTGAGGGAAGTGGCGAATATCTGTTACCGAGGGAAAGGGGCTGCGGAGAGAAAAAGTCACTCCAAGGGCCCTAATCTGGACACTTGGCGGAAAAGTCGGCGAGAAATTCGGCGGCTATGATTGGTCGGCGCCAAGGTCAAGTGTGGCGTTGGCCAATCGCGGCCGCCGAATTCCTCGCCGTTGTTTTCGCCAAGCGTCCAGCTTAGGACCCCAACACTGCAGTATTTTTTTTATTTAGTTTTAAGGTTGTTGCGGGTACCTTGAATTCCCTTTGTATTTTAACCACAGCTAAACATTGTAGCGAGACATCAGCACGTCTTCTTCCCGAAAAGAAGGCGCAAAATATTAATTAAAAAAAAGAACACGTTTTACGTGTCCAAGTAGCGAGCTGATTAGAACAAAATACACACACACACTTACATGATACATTCACACCGCTGGACTGACAACCGTCTAATGCTTCCTTTTCTTCTTTTTCCTTTTTGTTACAGTAAAGTGAGGCTTGTTCTTTTTCTTTCTGCTATCTACTCTT